AGGACTCCAAGAAGGCTGGATCCTCCAATCATTTGGTGCATATATAGGCACAAATGACCACAAGAGCCTGTCCTCCCACCCAAAGGAGCAGAGAAGCTACCCTCTTATCTACTGGGGTAAACTCCAACACACAGGCACCAAGTTGGGGGGCTTGGCACACCAGCTCGGCACCTCTCACCTTGGGCAACTCCAGAGTAAAGTAATGTCCAGCCACTTTCGAGGAGATTGGTTCCAGTATGTTGTGAACCACACTGCAACTTAAAAAGCACACTTTTCTGCATACATAAAAGACAGAACAGATGAGAAAAATGAATGATGAGTAAAAGAAWAGAGTTGTAATAATCATCCAAAAGCGGGCATGTGGTCCTGCCATAGAGGTGGAGAGGGGATGAGAGAACAGCAAGACATGGGGAGGGAGGAGGGGAGGGTTAGGACAAATGAAAAGGCGGAGAGACAGAAAAGGATGGTGAGGTTGAGTGACTCACAGTGGAGTGTCTGTGATTGCTGAAAGAAAAATACTGTTCCAACAATGTGYCATTAAATTACAGACAGGACAGCCTGACCCTGCCGGCTCAACACTTTAACCTACGTTTAATCAAATGGAGCTGGAGAAGGGCAAACATGGAGTGTGAAGTGGAAACAGACTCTAATGAAAAGGAATCAGTGGGCTAATGTTCTCCTTCAATGTTTCACCACCACGACCCAAAACAGTTAGGTTTCTCAAAAGAATATTTTAATAAAATTGCTCATTAGCCTATTATATTTTAGAACCTGTAGAATTTTCAATTAAAATATGCAAGAGATAGAAAMGGAACATGCTGCATTTAGGTGACTACACTTAGTTTTACTCAAACATCGTCATTAGTAAAACATGGCTGTGAAGCTTATAAACCTGTCTCATAGAAATTACTATTATTGTTTGTACTTTAACTGATAGGTCTACTTAASATATTTTGTAACAGATAAAATGTACTGCCATTTATGAAATTTTCCAAGATGAACTTTGATGAACTTATTAAAGTTGTCACATTTCCTTTTAACATACAAACAGCAGAATGTCTGACAGCAGCTTCCCTAATCAAATAAATTAATTGATCTTATGCAGCATCACATTTTACCGTGCCAAAAGGAAAAGTGTCTCCAGTAAAACTCATTCAAGTCAAGTGATGGTTGGGAAAAACTCAAAGTACAAAAATGGAGAGAACATACTTAAAAGAAAACATTTTTAAATTAATTAAGGAGACAGTTTTAGGGAAAAAGGTTGTAAATAAAGTTAATTTTTGGAAAAACAAAAGTTACAAAAAAACAACTAAGTCACAGGACATATCTTCAGAAAATTGCACAAAATATGCAGAAATAGGTAGCAAAAATATAAAAAACATGAAAAAAGAAAACAGTCAGCACACATACAATGAGTTTAAACAATGTAAAAACATTAAAACAAATCTGTTATTTTATCTTAACATAAATGGAACTGTAATTTTTCTCAGCATCAGTCCATCTCAGACTGAATGAACACTTCCTGTAAGTTTTTTGTAGTTTGACTCATCAATCTGATGCAGTTTTTGAGGTGTCTGTCAGTGAGGGAGCACCTGTAATTTGATTTAATTATTTTAACTTCATATTTCCATTTTAGCTGCCAGCTACCTTGCAAAGCTGTGTCTTGTAATGAGTGACAGGGTGGAAGTTCACTTGTAAATCCGCACAAACTGCTGACAGGAGGGGGAAAAACTCTGCTTTACATTTTTCAAAATAAAGGACAAGCAATTGTTTTTTGCAGGCATTTGTTGTTCATTAATGGCACAAATCTTTTATTTTGAAGGTGGAAACTCAGCCATTCCTGTTTTGTTTAAGCTGAAAGGTCCTAGCTCATTTTGTCAGAAAGTTATCAACTGCTAGCAATTCATACTCCCCTCAGTTATTTTCAGGATCTACGGGTTAAATCTCACTGATCTACTGGTCGATTGTGATCAACGGGTTGACAACCCTGAGTAGGTGTTTTGAATGTGTCTTAGCTACACTCTCCTAAAGTTGGTGTAATATCTATAAAATTTCTGTATGGACATTTTTTTTAATTCAGTTGGTTGTGGCTGGCATCTTGAACTGAATTGATGTTAAAAGTTAATCAGTTGCAGATGATCACCCAAGGATTACTTTGAGAGTTTCAACAAAACCCATCCAGTGGTTCATAAGATGTTTTGCTAACAGACTGATGTGATTTTCTCCAATAGTTAAAGGCACAGTGTGTAGGATTTGTTGTTTTCAGCGACCTCTAGTGGTTGAGTGGTTGAATAATCCTCCTTGGTCCTCCCCCCACCCCCACNTATCCCAGCTACAATGACAGACAACAAATATTACATTTATAGGATTACAACTAAAACCGTTTTTGACACCGCCACCGCAGTTTGTCCTTCATGAGCCTTCGTAGACAAGATGGCGGCTGCCTGATGGCGGCTGCCTGTAGGGTGACCCGCGACCATGGAGATATAAACAGCTTTTTATAAGGTAAAAATAATAAAACAAGGTCTTTGTCTGCAATGATTATATGTTTTTTATTGTCATTAGTGATTATCTCACTTTTGGCTAAAAGACTTGAAAAAATCCTACACATTGTGCCTTTAAATGGTAAATGGACTRTACCTATATAGCGCCTTTCTATCCAACAAGGATACTCAAAGCGCTTTACAGTACTGATTTATCCATTCACACAGCACTATACTATGTCTCTCTACAAAGCTAATACAGATAAACCAATCTAAAGAGACTAAAATACACTCATACACTGATGGGACACACATCAGAGTGCGTGCTCATATTGGGAATGATTCTCAGTTACAGTCACACTAAATCTTTTCTCTGCATATGAGAAACTGATTGAGGTATAAGTAGAAATATTTGTGTTTGCTAAGATTGGGTAGCTGTGTGGTGATCTTAAAACAGGTTAACTCCAAAAGATAATTTGTAGATGCACATCCTAGGACTACTATCTCAGTCTCAATCAAATCCATCCAGTGATTCAGGAGATATTTTGCTAACACAACACACAGACTTACCTTTAGCAGCAGTCAACAAAGAAAACTCACCATACAAAAGCAGAAATAAAAATCAGAGCAATGCTACATTCAGTCCAGTCCCATTTCTCAAAGAATTTCTGAAAAAATGGGGGGAAAATGTTTTGCTTTTGGATTCTAAAAGGGTGAAACTATGACAGACAGCTTCTGCTATAATATCACCAGGATGTAAAACGAGTCAGAGGCATTCATTGTGAGAGCTGCTGCCATGCTGATAATGTCTGACACTGTCTGAAAAGACTTAAGGCCAGAAACACTTTGACAGTCAGTGGGTTGGTTTTGGAGATATTGACAATATAGTGTGAAGTCTGACTTATAATAAGTCTCAAGGAATAAGAATATAAACAAAAGTCTTGTTTGTCCAAAAAACTATACTTATGACCACAGTGGATGCAAAAAAACACAAAAGGGCAAAATTTTAAAAGATAGTTTAAACCAAAGGGTGCCCATTACAATGATCATGATCAACTAGAGACTGGCCTTTTATAGAAAATTATTCTTTAAGCCCTTGTTGTTTAATGTTTCATGATTTTAATGCATGCATTCTCTCAACGTGTTCTACTAGATACACTAAAACTGTCCTTTTAAAAACATCAAAAGAAAATAAAGTTTTTACTGTTGTTGCGTAGCAACAGAGAGTACCTGTGCAGGTACCTGTATGAGAGCAGTAGTGAATGACGGCTGATAAGTAGCTCAAAAATGACAAACAAGTCAACAATTAAAGAACAATATATTTTGTCCTAAGTTTGTCCTAACCAAAGGTAGCAGTCCATCATATCATGCTGTAGTTCCCAAAAGGACTACTGGTCCTGAGAAAGTAAGTGTTTATGCTAGAAAAGGTCCTGAAAATGTAAGAGAAACCATACTGTGCTCTGGTGTTCAGGTACAACAGCACATCAGTTATATAAAGGGCAGCCATGATATATGATGTATACCCATGATGTATACAAGGGCAGCAATGAGCTCACTTTGTTTTTAAAATCCCAGAAAAGTGAATTCTGCAGCCTCATAACCTCACCATCACTCTAAGACTTTTTGTGTTTGGTGAAAACGTAGCTGACCTACTACTGTTTTTACTGTAGCAGCCAWACCTTTGGTGTCAGGTTGGCTGCTGCCAGCTGGTTTTACCTCCTAAACTTTTTGGGCTCGTGGAGCAGTTTTAGTGAAGAAATGTGTCTCAGAGCAGTTGTGCTTTGTCTTGTAATGCTGTTTCAARRAGAAGAGTGTCTCTGCAGTCACTAAGTAGGAGGTTCTTGGTATGTGGGAAGAGTTTGTCGAATACATAATTGGTCTGTTTGACTTTGGTGGGATGCATCTAGTAAAGACATGGTTGTTCAGATTGACTATTTTGGGTGGGCTTTGAAGAAGCCATGATTCAGTTGGATGAGCACTGGGCTCATGCTCCACAGAGAACCAGCTGTCTAGCTTTGGTTCAATACTTCGATTTCGTCCACATTTTCCCACATTGCAGAAATCATAGGGCCCTAAACATACTCCAAGTGTGAGATTGGGCAAAAACATTATTCTATAGTCTGAGGTCATTTCTCATCATAAAATGATTTTAGTCTAAATCTCTGGCATGAAGAGCATGTAATACGTATTCCTTCAAGTAATGCTAAGTTTTTAATTCTGAATAAAAGTTTTGTGTAGAGTCTGGCTTACATTTGACACTTTCTATAAACAGTGTATCCCTGACTTTCACTGTCAGGCTACACAATAACGGTCTGCTGGATTAATTACCACTGATCAGAGACTTGCATCTGTTTTTCCACAAGTAGAATCTGATGGAACAAGATAAATGGGAAGGAAATCATGTTTTTGTCCTCGGGAATCAATTACCTAAAGTCCTTGTAATGTAACGAGAAATCACATTTAGAAGCTACATTTCAAAGACAGAACTGATGAATTTCTCTTCTCTCCTCTGCTCAGGTTTAACCAATGCTGAYGCAGTGGTGAATATGCGGAAGGTGACTCATCAGACCATTAGTGAGGAGCTATCTAAATCTGTTCTGCTCCCTTGCATCTTCACCCTCCGTCCCAGTGCTGGCTCTCTCCACGAACCCCCCAGGATCAAGTGGACTAAAGTTTGGGGCCAGAGAGGCTCGGACGGCCTGCAGAAGGAACAGTCAGTCCTTGTGGCCAAAGACAATGTGGTTAAGGTACAATTAATAAACAGATTAATTTTGTTGCATCCTGCTCTTCTTTTTGCATTTATTTATT